CTAGTTGTGTGCGTGTGTGTGTGCGTGTGCGTGCGTGTGCGCGCGCGCGTGTGGTGGTGGGGGGGGGGGGGGGGGGCAAATATCACACGAGCGCCTGAGCCTGGACCTGCGCCTGGACCTGCGCCTGCAGCTCGGTCTGCATCTTCTCTCTCAGCTCCGCCTCGACCTGCTGCCGCACCTGCGGCGGCGAAGAGAGCGGCGAGGAGAGTGGTGAGGCGTGCAGTGCGGGCGGGGAGGGGGGGGCGAGGCAGCGCGACCGGTGGTTGGAGCGGGCCAGGACTGGAGGCAGCGAGGGAGGGACGGCGGCGGCGCCTGCTCCCGAACCCGCTCGAGCTCCGCCGTGTGCTCTTCCAAGGAGACGGCCCGGGCCCGCAGCGCCGGCGCCGCCTCCGCCGGCGCCGCGAGCGCCTCCGGTGTGGTCGCGCGGGCGGTCTCCAGCGTCGCGTCCGCGGCGGAAAGCGACTCGTCGAGGGACGCATCCGGCGTCGCGTCCAGCAGCGTCGTGTCCAGCAGAGTTGCCTCGAGGGCGAGGGGCTCGTCCAGCGAGCTTCGCCGCTCGTCCAACAGAGTCGCTCCCGCGCACACCGCCGGGCTGCACGCGTCAGCCACTCCGGGGCTCGCTGCTAGCGCGCTGTTCCGCCGCTGCCGCACCAGCTCGCTGGCCCGGGAATCGCCCGCCCAAGGGTCGCCCTTCAGGCCGGCGCCGCCGGTGAGCACTGCTGCGCCAGCGGGCGGTGGCAGCGGCGGTTCGACGACCGTGGTGCGCTGCAGCGCTCCCGAGGCCGCGCCCGCCGCCGCGTTCGCAGCCGCCGCCGCGAGGTGCCGGGAGGCGGCTCGAGGGCGGTGCGTGTCGGTGCCTTGCCGCCCGCTCTCGCCGGGCGGTGCGGGCGGCGTCGCGGCTCCTCGGGCGGCGGCGCGGCAGGCCTCCTCGACCTGGGAGGGTGCGGGCGGCGGGTGGGCGCGGGCGGCGAGCGGGTGGAGTGGAGAGGCGGGGGCCATGCACCTGCCGCCGCCGGATCTCTTCAGCGAGAGGCATCAGCGCGGGAGAGGCGGCGGGAGAGGCGGCGGGAGAGGCGGCGGGAGAGGCCCACGCGGTCTCGTCGTCGTCTGCGCTCTCTCCGCGCCGCGAGGGGTGCGTCGCGTGCTGCGCCTCGCACGGCGTGTCGGGCAGCGAGCCGGCCAGCTGCGACGAGCGCGAGGCAAGCGGCCCGACACCGAGCTGCCAGCCGCTTCCCTCCCAACACGTCTCGTCGCCGTCTGCGAGCGGCGACGGCAGCGGCGGCGTCGGGTTCGACGACGCCGGCGACGGGAGCGGCGGGGCGGGCGTCGAGTGGGATGAGCCCGGCGAGGGCACGGGCGGTGTCTCGGCCGGCGGCGACGTGAACGCCGCTGAAGGCAGCCGCGATGATGATAGCCTCGCCGGAGTCCACAGCGGGGTCCGCACCGCCGCCGCCGCCGCGAGCCGCGGCGGTAGGGACGGCAGAGAGAGCTCCGGGGTGGGGCGGGGGGGGAGAGGCGGTAGTGGCAGCTCAGGCGTGGCCTGCGACTCGACCGGCGGCGTCGATCCGACCGGCCTGAACGGCGATGGCCCGGCCTTGAGAGGCGGCGCCGCCGCCGCCTCACCCTCGGCTAGTGTCGGAGCCGAGGAGAGGGCTGAGCTGCAGCGCCGGATGGGGATAAAGTCGCCGCGGTGGCCCAGGCGGCGTGTCGGTGGCTGGTTGGCGATCCGGTGAAGTATCGCGAGGTGGCTCTCCGCCTTTTGCGCCTCGGGCCAGCCCTTTGGAGCGCCGAGGTTGTCTGCGGCTGTGCTCAGGCGCCGGAGCGGCGAGCTGGCCGCCGCGTACGTCGACGTGGCGAAACTCATCGGCGCCACCCACGGGGGAGAGCTGGGCTCCAGCACCTGAGGCTGCGGCGATGAGCGTGGCGACTGGAAGCAACGGCGGGATGACGATGGCGATGGCGTCTCGGGAATTAAGAGGCGGTCAGCAGGCGGGCGCCGCGTGGCAGGGCTGTCCATGCTGAAGGTGGCGGCGGTGGCACGGCGGCGGAGGCACGGCGGCGAAGGCGGCACGGCGATGGCGATGGACTCAAACAGGCACTGAGTCTGTTCACAGCCTTGTTATTGAGAAGAAAATACCTCGGATGGCGCTGTGCGCTGGTCTGTGAGACGGCGTGCCGTTCTCCCATCCCTCCCTTGGGTTCTCTGCTTTCTTTCTTTCTTTCTTTGGTCTGTGAGAGGTTGAGGTGCGAGCCCTGGAGGCCCTGGGGATGGGGTGAGACTACCCGCGGGCCTAGAAGGCCCGCGCGCAGGGGGGTGGGACATTGAGACCGGTCATGAATGAGTGCGCGACACGCATGTTGCGAGCAGCGTTGTTGATGTTTTGCGCGTCGCCACAGACGGCGGCGCGCGAGAGCTGTTGCGAGTGGTGCTGGGCGAAGCTGAGGGAGGGTGTAGAGGATGTAGAGTGTAGAGCGCTGTAGAGCTGTAGAGATGTAGAGCGCTCTGGAGCGCTGTAGAGCTGTAGAGCTCTACATCCGCCGCGTGACGAGGCGCCTGCGTTGTAGAGCGATGTAGAGCGCGATTTTGTTGTAGAGTTTGTTGTAGAGGCTCTACAGCCAAACCGCCGGGAAGGCAGTGACTCAAAGAGGTCGAGCCGCGCTAATGGGGTGTCTCCGAGCTTAGTGAAGCTCTGATGGACAGCCCTGACTATCCCTGACACACAGAGAGTCCCTCTGACGGCACACAACACCCTATAACTGCGTCATGACCAGCCTGCCATGTGTCGCCGGTGCCGCATTCGTCGCTGTGCTTCTTTAGCAGGCGGTGGACTGTCGGCTGCGAGGACGGTCGCATTTGCGCGAGGCGAGGCGAGCATTCAGACGCGTTGCATGCGCCATGACTCGCGCCAGCGCGTGCGGGAGCTCCTGGCTGAGCGTTGAGTCCAGGCGAGTTGCGCTGGCCACTATCGCTACGCCGAGCCGAGCTGACGCGCCGAGGCGCCGGCCAGTCGCAGCCGTGAGGCATGCCATAGCAGCAGAGGCACCTGCCACCCATTGGGCGGGCAGACAGAAGGCCAGGGCAGCACTGGCAAGTGCAACGCGCCTCATGTCGGAGAGCGACCGTGCCTCGTTCGCCGCTTATGATGTAGAGTTTGTTGTAGAGATTTCACGTTGTAGAGCGCCTCTACATCGCTCTACAACGCAGGCGCCTCGTCACGCGGCGGATGTAGAGCTCTACAGCTCTACAGCGCTCTCCAGCACTCTACATCTCTACAGCTCTACAGCGCTCTACACTCTACATCCTCTACACCCTCCCTCAGGGGCGAAGCCCCGGGCGCTGCCGGAGGCTGTGCCGTAGTCGGTGCGGTCGACGGCGCTCGGGCTGCCGACCTCTTCACACAAAAACACAACCCCGGCCCCAAGACGCACAAGCTCAGACAGTCGAGAAAGGGATCGACAGCAACGACAGTCAGAAGTCAGCGCTGGGTCCCAGACAGCATCGTCCGTCAGAAGTCTGTTCACAGTTGTTATTGAGAAGAAAATACGTCAATGGCGCTGTGCGCTGGTTCACATACTCGTAAACGCACAACCCCGCCCGAAATCGCACAGAGACAGTCACGCAACACGGGGGTGGGTTGACACAAAACAAAAACACAACCCCGGACCCAAGACGCACAAGCACAGACAGTCGAGCGAGAAGGGAGAGACAGCAACGACAGTCAGAAGCCAGCGCTGGGTACCAGGAAGGCGAATGCGATGACGGCCTCTAGAGTGTGCTCTACTTCGAGTAGCTAGTGAGCTCATACGCACGCCGGCAGATCGCGACTATATACAGCTAGTTAGGAGCCGACCGACCCTCGCGTCCGGTGTTCATCGGCCGGGCGGGCCACCCGCCCACGCGCCGCCTACGCGCAGCGCGTGCGCCGCAAACTCGCCCGCCGAGAGCGCCGGCCGGTCGCCATCGGCCGTCGCGAGAGGCCTGCCCGGCTGTCGCCGCGGGGCCCCCACGAACACCACGCGTCGGAGGCGGTGCCGCGCGAACTCGCGCGCAAAGTGCACGCCCCACGCCCGCCGCAGCGTCGTAGCGAAGTAGGACCGCGCCTCCCTCGCGCTACGCGCGCCGATCCGCCTCCAGTGCTGCTTGGATGCCGACTCCACCACACAGTCGAACAGCTGGTGCAGGTCGTCCGACGCCTCCGCGTAGGCCCCGACAACGAGGCTGCGCACGGTGCCAAACGAGCGCAGCACGGAGGACACGGCGTCCCTCGAGCCGTTGTTCCATGCCTGCACGTGCGGCTTGGCATCGAGCGCCGCCGCCCGCGCCTCGTAGTCGCGCTGGACCAGGTTCGCCCTGTCGGCGACAGCGCCGCCCTGGCCATCGTCGCGCGCCCGAGCGCTCATGTTCATGTAGTGAGGCCCGCCGCGGTGGATGGTCTTGCCCTCGAGAAGGTGCTCCGCCGGCGGCTGCTCGGGCCCGCGCTGCGCACTGTCGTGCCGCGCCACCGGACAGACGGATGCGCCTGGCCTCGTGTGCCCGTGCAGCGTGCCGTGCGGGACTCGCGCAGCTTGCAGCGCAGGCGCCCATCTGGCACGATGCCGTTCTTGCCGCGCGTGCCAGCTGTGCCGTTGAGTGTGACAGGCGGGATGACGGCGCTGAAGATCTCGCGCGGCTCCTCCTTGCCGCGCAGCCCCGCGTGCAGCGCATCACCGATCACGCGTGAGAAGATGTCATCGTGGCAGTTGCCGTGGGCGCGGTCGTTGAGCGTCGCCAAGCCCAGCTGGACGCCAAAGGCATCGCAGACTCGAGGAGGGCCGCGGCCGGAGCAGGCGATGCTCTTGCCCACGAGCGCGCGCACGGCTGGGCTCTCCCGGCCGAGGTAGGTGCAGAAGATCTCGCGGAACTCGCGCGCCTCGCACCGGTTCTGAGCCGAGGGCCATGAGCTCACCCACGCGGACGAGAACGAGTCGACGGCCAGCCACGCCTCCCGCCGCGTGTCGCCGTGCGGCAGCCCGAGGATGCTGCGGCTGAGCTGGTTGCGCTTGGCCTGCTCGCGCTGCTGCGTCAGCTGCCGCTGTAGCCCAGCGCTGCCGGCCCGCCCGTTGCCAGCCTCGGGAGCCCGGAGATCGAGAGGCCCCGCGACGCCCTCGCCGCGGACCTCGCGCTGCATGCCCTCCCACGCCGTCTTGAAGGACTCGCCCGTCGGCGTCAGCTGCCCCAGCTGCGCGCCGAGCGGGTTGACGTAGGTGGTGCAGCCCGAGAGGAAGCGCGAGAGGCGAGGGCTGTTCGGGTACGGCAACTCGAAGGCGCCGTGGCCGAAGAGCGGAGCGAGCATCTGGAAGAAGCCGCGCTCGCTGCCGCCGCCGGGCGTCGACATGTCGAGGAACCTCTCGGCCGCCTCGACAAAGCAGGCGCAGAACGCAGCCGGCGCCACCTCCTCGAGCGAGCGCAGGCCGAGGCCGCGCATCCGCGCAGGCAGGCGAGCCCGCCGCGCGGTGATGGCGTCGACGAGCACGCCCTCTCGTAGCCGCACGCCTCAGCGGCACGAGTGAGCGCAGCGTCGACGACGCGAGCGTGGGACACCGTCTGGTCGGGAGGGAGGTGCCGGAGGATGAAGTCGAACTTGGCAGAGCAGGAGTAGTAGATGGCGGCCCACAGCGCGTGGGGGCTCGCAGCACGTAGCGAAAGAACCGTCTTCTCGATGTAGCTCACGATACTGCTCACCTGGGCGCGTAACCACGCATCCACAAATCCTGCCTCCCCGATTGGGCAGCCCGCGACCATAACGCCTCGGTACGCGCCAGCACCTGGTCGAGCGCCGCCTGTAGCAAGGTTCCGAGAAGGTTCGTGGAGGGCTCCGGGCAGCGGCGGCACCGGGCCCGAGCGACGCCTGCAGCCGGCCGCTCGCGTCGGCGCGGAAGGTGGACGCGGTGCGCGTGTCTCGCACCTATGGGACGGTTCCGAGAGAGTTCCGCGAGGAGTCCGACAGGGCGTGTGGCAAGCGGCACCAGAGGTGCGCGCGCCTCGACCACCATGGCGGCGCCCCGCGCGGGGACTGCATCCGGCGCGGTGCTCGCGTGGTGGCCGAGCGTGACGACCGCCTTGCCGGCGGAGAGACCGCCGCGCTCGACCGGCTGCCAGGCGGTCAGGCTGCTCGCGCCGGGCGTGTGGAGCCGCGCGACCCGCACGAAGCCCGACGCCGGCCGCAGCGAGAAGGCGAAGCGCGCGAGCTCCTCGCGCGAGAGGAGGCGCGCGGGCGCCTTCGGCGCGGAGCGGTAGAGCTCGAGCTGGCGACGCTCCGCCTCTCTCTAACGGCGCGCAGCGCGCGGTGTAGCCCGTCTTTCCTATCGCCCGCATCTCCCCTTAGAGCCACATGCGGCCATATGCGGCCATATCACCGTGGGTTACCGCTTCCCATCTGAACAGCGAAGTCAAGTCCGGTCGAGCTCAGGTAGTACTTCCATCCGGGAGGGGGAGGGAAGGCTGAGTGCTGCATGTTTTGCCGCCCCCTTTGTCGACTCTTTGCGGCTCCTTGGACATCCCTGCGCCCTGTTGCGTCTCTTTTACAAATTTTTTTCAAATCTCATCCTGAATTATCGAAATATAATCCGGTGCTCTGCCGTGCTGACTCTGCCCTGACGCACTTGCCACACTCTCGAGGTGACGTTGTTGTCGAGGTGTGACAGATTGCGATTTTTCTTCGTTGCCTTCAACGGTCGTCCCCTCCCACACGCAAGACCACGTAGGACTTGCGGGCTGTCTCCACAATGCCGCCCAAGCAGCCGGCGAACAATGAGCCACTGAATGACTTTGCGCAGTTCTACGAAAGTGGCAGTGTGTTCGGTGGCAGTGGCGGGATCGCAGAGAAGTGTGGATGCTTCGGGGTGATAGCCGAGGCAACTCGCATTGGCACGGCCGCGGGCGGACGCGTGGACGGCAGCATGAGCAGCATGGGATTGCCACCACGATCGTCCAGTCGGCTCCGGGCCAACGGCAGTGAAGAAGCCGACGGCAGCCAAGACGTCGGCAGCCAAGAATCCGACCGCAGCCAAGAAGCCGTCGGCAGCTAAGAAGCCAGCCGCGGCAGCTAAGAAGCCCGCCGCAGCAAAGAAGCCCGCGGCAGCTGACGTGGCCGACACTGCGCCGCGCCAAATGCAGAAGGAGGAGTGGCGGCCCGAGCTGGGTTGGCCAACGCGCGAATTTCAGCTCGCTTCGTACTGCGGCGACATGCACGAGCTCATCAAGTACGCCAAGGAGAAGCATGGAACGACGGGCGGCATGTCGAGCACGCAGGTGAAGAACTGGCTCAAGAAGAACCCAGACTTCATCCCGCGCTGGCTGCGGGAGACGGAGTGGGCGGTCGACCACATCATCAGCGACAAGCTCGGTGGCCACCCGTGGCCGTTTGACTACTTCATCATGCCCAACTCGGACAACTCGCTTCAACCAGTGGGCGGACGCTGAGAAGCGCAAGTACGTGGGCATGCATGCTTGGGACACGGCCTCATCCTTTGCCCGCTGGGCGCGCGACGCTGCACGTGCGCGCATCGACTATGGGAAGTTCGACCCTGTCACGGATCAGTTCCGCGGGCGCGCTTAGTGTTACTTAGTCGCCAGCTTAGCGTTCCAGAACTCGTTCCAGAGGTAGAGCCGGCGGGGTGGAACCTGGAACGCGCGCGGGCGCAGGCAAACAAGTGACGATGAGCGAACGCGCGCATATGCGACACGCGTACACGTACTTGAGCACTTGAGCACTGGATAGGGTCGATTCCGCATGATACGGGACCCCTCGACACGTACTCTAGAGAGAGAGCACGATTTCCTGATCTCGGTCTTACTCGAACGTACTAGTATCAACATCCCGCCGCATGCTGCCGCGGAGGTTCCGCCCCTCTTACGGAATCGGAGAAGCGCCTCCTCGCATCCACCGAAGTTGCGCCCTCTGTCTGCGTTTATGGTTCGACTACCGATCGTACATACAGCGCCAGGGGGTTTGGGGCTCGCATAGGATTCCTACAGTCAGCCCACGCGCCCAACTACCTTCGGCAGCACCCCGCGAAGCGCAAAGGGGCCGGAGCCCCCCCTACTCGAGTAACCCCGCAACCGATGTCAATGTCAATGTCAATGTAAGTCATGTCGGTCATGTCGCGTTGCGATTCGCTAGCCTCTCAGGCCGACAACCCTCTGCAGACCGGAGACTACGTCAGCATCCACCATGACGACCTCAGCATGGAGGGCAGCTCAGTCAAGTGCCAGCCGCACACGGCGCGTGCCAATTCCTCACCACCCCCTTCCCGCCGCCGCCGCATGGCTAGCCGCCGCCGCCCCCCCCCCCCTCTCTCGCCGCGCGCGCCACCGCCCGCCGCAAGCCGCCCGCAGGTGCTTGCCAAGGTGACCTCGGTCTCTACAGAGGGCTTCACGGTCGAGATGCTCTTCTTCCAGCTGCCGTCGAGTCCTGTCCCTCGCGAGTATCTCTTTGACGACCCGGACTGGGAGCGACTCGAGATTGGCGAGATGAGCGAGCGGCAGCGCCTCAAGTGCGTGCTGCTCCCGGCAGCGATTCCCACTCTCCGTGCCCTCCACGCACACACACGCACACACACGCACACCGACGCGTCTGCAGGTACCTGTTCGACGAGCTCAAGCGCTTTGCCCTCTTTGTCAACCAGCAGCTGGCGCCGACCGACCTCGACTGCGTCGTGTCGGGTGACTTCTGAGCACCTCCCGAGACGCCTCCCCCTGCGATGCCACCTGTGATGCCACACCTGCTTGCGAGAGGGAAGCCGGAGGCCCTGTCCTGCCGCTCCGTCGCTGTCGCTGCTTCCACTCCTCCGCCTCCTACGGCTGTACCGTGTTTGACCTGCCGGGCGGCCCTCCCTCGGTAGGCAAGCTCGAGACGCGCGGCGGGCTCGTCGAGCTGCAGCTCTGCTGCGCCAAACGGGGCCGCAACGGCATCTGCGCGCGGCCGGTCCGCTTCACGGCCGGCGGCGTCGAGCGGACAGCGACGACGCTGGGAAAGGTGCAAGAGTACCTGGACGAGCTCGCCGTCGCCGAGCCGGCCGGTGAGGGCAGCCGCAAGCTGAAGCGCAGTGGATCCGGCTCGGGCAAGACCCCGTCCTCGAAGCGTGCGAAGGGCGTCTCGCCGCCGCCCGAGGACGAGGAGGACGAGGAGGACGAGGCAGAGGCGGAGGGGCGGGAGGCTCAGGCCGCGGAGGAGGGGATGCGGCTGCAGCTCTCCAGCGGCAACAGCACCGGCTACAAGGGCGTGACCAAGGACCCGCGCAGCGGCCGGTACGCGGCGGAGCTCTACGAGGGCGGGAAGCGGCGGTGGCTCGGCTACTTTGACACGCCGCTGGAGGCGGCGGTGGTGTACGCGCGGGCGGCCGGGGCGCCACCCGGGACGCCTACGCCAGAAGAGGGGGAGGGCGGGGAGGGCGGGGAGGGCGAGGAGGGCGAGGAGGACTTGGAGGACGAGGAGGACGAGGAGGAGGGCGACGACGAGGCGGAGGAGGAGGGCGAGGGAGACGAGGAAGAGGGAGGGGAGGAGGAGGGCGAGGAGGAGGAGGGCTTCTCCTGGCTCGAGCCCCTCGGGCCGCGCCCCCTCAAAGCGATGTGCAAGGCAATGGGCCGCTCCCTACTACGGCTTCGCCCGAAGCGCCCTTTCCCTGAACCTTCTCGGAAGCTTCCCGCAGGCGATGGGCCTCTCCTACTACGGCTTCGCCGAAGATGCGAGCGCGATCGCCGAGCTTCTCCGCGACCGGGGCGGCCCCCACCATGCGGCGCTGCGGGAGGCTTGCCGGGCGGCTGGCTTGCCCGTGGGCGGCAAGGCTGCGGAGCTGGCGGCGAGGCTGAAGGAGTCTGTCGGCTTGGGCGGCGAGGGGGAGGAGGAGGCGGGGGAGGAGGCCGCGCGCCACCGCTGCGTGCAGTAGTGACATGAGCCGGTGATGCGTGTCACGATTGCTGTAGGAGGCGCTCGAGGCGGACTCGCGACCAATCTCGCAGCGCAAGCGGCCGCGATCCGCGGCGCTCGGCGCCGACCAACTCGCGCGCGAGCCTCGAGCGGCCTCCGCTGCCGCTGCCCCTGCCGCTGCTGCCGCCTCCGCTGCCGCTGCGGCTGCCGCTGCCGGGCGCCGCTTCACGCCCTTGCGCACGGGCATGAAGGTTGCGGCAAAATACGGTGGCGGCGCGAAGTATTACCCGGGCGTGATTACACGCGATAACGGCGACGGCACATATGCCATCAAGTACGACGACGGGGACACGGAGGATGCCGTGAAGCGGCCGCTGATCCGGACGGAGGAACCGACATGGAGCGAGGGGCATAGCGTCGAGGTGCGGGAGGCGGGCACGGGGCGCTATTTGCTCGGCGTTGTCACGCGCCACAACCGTGGCACCTTCGATGTCGATTTTGGCGACGGTCGCATTGAGCGGCGCGTGGGGCCCGAGAGGATGCGCGAACCTCCGGCGCGGGAGCGTGGGCCGGAGGGAGTGGGCGGTGAGGAAGGTGCCGCCTCTTGCCTGAGCGAGGTGGACTCGCCGTCCGCGGCGGCGCTGGAGGAGCCGCTCAACTTGCCCGGCACAGTGCACAAGCTCAAGCCCTTCTTCTCCGCCGAGGTGCAGTCAATCGCCGGCTTCAAGCCCGCCCTCGAGCAGATGGAGGTTGAGACGTACGGCGCAGTGAAGACGGGCGCCCTGCACCTGCGCGTGCGCTCGCTCTCGCTCGAAATCGGGCTCTAGTTTATTCCCTAGGTGTCGAGCCGCGTGCACGCGCTCGACCTTGCTCGACCTCGGCGCGACGCTCTAGTTTTGCCGCGCGAGGCTCTGTCCTGCGCGGCGTGCCCCCCTGTTTGTGCGTGTGCTCTTACCATTGGCCCCCGGCGGATGACCGAAAATGGGCAAAAAAGATATTTTGACGGATGACCGAAAATGGGCAAAAACGGGGTGATTTTGGTCATCCGTCAAAATATCTGAAGATCCTACTATACTCTATAGGATTCTCCCCAAACCTTGCTCAGCTGATCCAGCCTGGGGGGAAGGCCAGCCCTGGGCAAAGAAACCAGCACCTCATCAGGCTTCCCTGAGCGTCACAGCTCGGTGATCGCGCCGGCCGGACACCACTGTAACGTCCGTTCCGGGCATTTGAACGCGACCTTCGGGGGCAAAGACATGGGCTCTATGGCTCAGACTGGACTCCTCTTGGTCCCTTCTGATGCCCTAGGCCACACCTGGGCCTTACCTGGGGTCCTAGGGGCCGGGCAGGGTTTAATAAATAAATAAATACAACGGACATCCCAAGCTAGGGCTGGGTTTGCCCCCCCCAACTGGCGGAACGGAATTCTCTTTCCGATGAGCGGAGCTTGTGGGTGAACGCGAGCTGCACTCTCGTTGCCCTTGCCCATACACACATGACGACAGCCGCCGCCCTCGTGACGCTCGGCCTCGCCTTCACGGCGCCCGCCAGCCGCCTCGCGCCGCCGCGCGTCTCGTCTGCTCGGATGATGTGCGCCGCGGTCATGCCTGAGACGCCGCCGGCTCTCGAGTCCGACTGCGGCTTTGACCACGTGCCTCTCTCGATCGCGCTGCAGTCCGGCGACTTTCTGGAGGCGCGGCCGCCCGGACCGCCCGCGACAACGCACACCGCCTGCCCTCGCCGCCGCCGCCGCCGCCCATTCGCCTCTCGCCGCCGTGGGTGGCAGCAGACGGCGTTTGCGGCGGCCGCCTCACCCTCTCCCGGCGCCGCCCTCGGCCTGCTCATGCCGCCCGCGGCGCCGCAGGCGGACCAGATCACCCGCGACGCGCTCATCAAACTCGCGGGCGACTCCGCCGTCTCGCGCGGGTACGTCTACTTTGCAGAGGTGCCAAACCTGCCCGAGGCCGACCTCGCCACGATCGAGCGGCTGTGGCTGGCGTACAGCGGGGGCAAGTTCGGCTACTCGGTGCAGGTCAAGGCGCTGCAGAGCAAAAAGGTCAACAACAACCTCGAGAAGCTCTTCGACAAGATTGGCTGGAGGAACGAGAAGGGGCAGCTGCTGCGCTGGCTGCCCGAGAAGGCGGGCGCCAACTGCCGAGACGCCTCCTCCCTGCTCTGTGGTCCGCTCTCCTCGCCCGCTCCTCACCCTCCCCTCCGCCCACCACCTCGCCAGGCGAACAACGAGTTCATCTACGAGCTCGACGCCGCGCCCGAGGGCCACCTGCCGCTCACAAACACGCTGCGTGGCCAGCAGCTGATCACGGCGCTCTTCAAGCACCCCGTATGGGCGCGCGACGAGTTCCAGTGAGGGCGGCGGCGCAGGGCCGGGGCGAGGGGCACGCACGAGGCAGCAGGGGGCGCGTACTCCGGGAGGCGCCCGAGGCGGAGGCGCGTGGCGGCAGGCGAGGCGGCAGGCGAGGCGGCAGGCGAGGCGGCGGCAGCGTGCGTCCCCCGTGGGCGGGAGGCGCACCCCTCGCATTGCTCGGAGCGCGTGCAGCGGCCGCTCCTTGAGACATGGACCACTACTACGGGCGCCGCAGCGGGGTCCGCTGCTCCTCTCGTTTGCCGCGTTGGGTTTGTGCGTGTTCGCTTGTCGTGCTCTGGTTCGGGCAGTGACCGTGTATCGCGTCTCGACGTAAAGAAAAAACAACGGTTTTTTCAAAGGCAAAACACCCGCTGCGGACCCTCGCCCACTCAACACACAACACCCTCTCACCGTGGAAAGAATTCAGAAAGAAAGAAAGAAAGAAAACAGACAACCCAAGGGAGGGATGGGAGGACGGCACGCCGCCACCACACAGGGATTTTAAGGAGAGGTGTGTGGTGCGCTATCCGTCGCCCACCCTAGGGAGTCTGCCTCTTCCTATCTCTCTTTCAGTCTCAGAGTCCCTTCCCCTTGTGATTTTTGCATTTTGGCATTTGCGGTCAAAATCGTCCCGATTTCATATTAATCGATGTTCGTTTTCGTACGTGCATCCGCGGCGCCCAGCGCGGTGCCAGCGGCTCCCATACCTCTAAGAGGCCACCCACCTCCGATAGACCCTTATATCCGCGTTCCACGCCCAATAGAGGCAGCTGCAAGAGGGCCCGGACGGGCACTGCGGCACACACTGCTCGCTGCTCGGCCATGCGGTAGCGTCTGGTGATGCCGCCCCTGCGCGGGCGGGCGCGTCTCGCTCGGCAGCAACTGCGCCGCGCAGCGCAGGTTCGAGGGTCGCGGTGGATGGGTGCACCGGAAGACGTAGCGGTCGAGAAAGCGCTCAGCGACCGCTACGTCTCGAGGATGGAGCCGTCGCGCGGACCCGAACGGCCGACCGGCAGTAGCAGCAGGCGCCGGAGGGCGCGGGAGGCAGCGGCGACACCTCGGGCCAGAACTGCGAGCCCTCGGCTGGTGAGGGGGCGCGCTCATGGGTAAACGGCTCTGGGACTTAGCTAAATCGCGCATCGAAATCGGGACGATTTTGCTAGCGCACCGTCACAAGGTGGGGCGTTGGGGCCATGCCTGAGCGCTGAGGCGCCCCCTCTCCACCCCCGGGGGCCCCGCCCAGCTACCCTCAGCTAGCTCCACCCCACATGAGGACCACTCGCACCAAGGTGTCCAAGTGGACCAAGCCTACGAGGGCGCATTCGCAACTCCCCCTTTTTTTATGGTTTTATACCCACATTATGCGAGAAGAGTAATGCGACGGTGTATCATTGCGACGGTGTATCATTCACTTTACGCCCCCCTAGCATCTCCGGATACGCCACGCCGCCATAAAGTGAATGATACACCGTCGCAAGTAAGGTGAGAGGAGGATCCACAAGTGGGCTGCTGCAGCATCTGCTTGTAGGCGGTCGCGTTCGCAGCGAGGCGCGTCAGCTCGCGCAGTGCCGCCTCAGGCCGGCTGATGTTTGCGATGTACACGAATGCCGCCTCGTTGAAGATGTGCAGCACCGAAGGGTGCCCAGCAAACACCGGCACGCCTCCGCCCAGGAACGCGAGAATGAGCTTCTCAGTGATGTAGCCCGGGGCGAGGGCGTGGTTCTCGGCGACGAAGACGAAGCGGTAGTCTCGGTACAGCAGCGCCGCCTCGTCGTGGTACGTGACAAAGGTCCCATTGGCGAACCCGCCGTCGTGCTGCCGTCCGAACAGGCGCACCCACGGATTCCGGTGCGTCGGATCCGCCTGGCTTGGCCCCTCGTCCCGCACCAGACGGCTCGTGTCGACCGTCGCGAGACCGTCGATCCCGTTGCATTGGCCCAGAGCGAAGGCCTCGCCCTCGGGCAGCGCCGCTACAATCTTGTCCCAGAGCTGCAGCCGCCAAGGGTACATGCAGTCCCGGCTCAGGTGGGCGATGAGGCGGCGGCCGCTGTTCTTCCGTGCCAGCGCAGGACGGTCAATCAAGTCCGCCGGGGTGAAGAGGCTGCTTTCGAGAAAGTAGAGGCTCGCAAACGGCACGTGTCGGCTGATTAGTGTCTGAGACTCCCGGCTCTGGTGCGTTCGGTTCCACCAATTGCCGAGGATTATGCTGCGGGCCATCCGGTCCGGCTCAGCCTTCCCTTGGCACGACTCGCCGTCCTCATACTCGGCCTGAAGACGCAAGACCACGGAGGAGACCAACGTCCGGCGAGCCTTGCCTAGGATGGTGGTGTGTTGACAAAGGCCAGCGATCAAGAGATTGTCGCATCCGCCGGCCAACGCCCGAGATAGCGCTGCGTGCTGCTCTGAGAAGAGATGGAATCCCAGTCGGCGCATTCCATAGTCAGGCACATGTGGACAGCACGTGCGCACGCTCCCCGGGTAGGACCCGTAATCGCCAATCGCGTGCACCCAGGGCGGAACCGTAGTTCGTGGCATGGCTTCCTCACATTGTGTGTATGTGCTTCCGTGGCGGCAAGGGACGCGCGAAACATAGTCGCTTCCCCTTCCGGTTCCAAGCCGGATAGGCTCAGCTCGTGACTCGCGCCAAAACTGCCAAAACGCCCTTACCTATTTACCGCGAGTTTGGCCGGACTGCCGGATATCCACCGCGCTTCTGTCGGCGTGGCGAGGGGCAATGCAATCCATGCAGAGCGGAGCTTCTGCACCGCTTCTGCACCTTCTCACAGTCGGGTTCTCTCCCACGGGAAGCGGAGAAGCGTGGCTGAGCGCAACCGTGCCATTCTTCCTCGAGTCGATACGCGGCCGCGACAGCCGCATACGGGTGTCTCTTGTTGGGGACGCACTACCCAGCGTGATTCAGCCGCTCGCCGCCGCAGCCAACGTGACGTCGCACGAGCTGAGTATGGCAGACGTTGCCGCCCAAATGGAGCTCGCCACCAGCCGAAGCGGGCTGCGGTTGCGCTTCCTATCGCCACAGCTCTGCAAGACCTACTACTTTGCCAACTTGGCCAAGCTAATCGTTGGATTGATGTTCCCGTTGTACTCACGTGAGGCCACGCACGTAGGATGGTGCGAGACGGACTTGTTGATTAGCAGCCACGCCCTAGGCGGCCTGTTGACGAGCATGATTGCCGCAGACGCAAGCAAGGGCGGCGCCAGTATCACATACGGCAACATCGAGTTCTTCCGGCGGCAAGAGTACTTTGAGCTGGTCGGCCCGCGCGTGCTGGCGTATGTAGCGACGCAGTACTTTCCAAACAATAAGTCGCGGTGCTTTCACCTCTTTGACGAATGGGGCGAGAGGAGGTGGTTCGGGAGGGGGCTTGCAAACTCGCTGACGGGCCTGTTGCTCCCACTCTACGCCAGCGCACAGATAAAGGCGCACGGGAGGAACTACTACGCGATTCCAGGGCAGAGCAGTCTCAGAGGACTTAACGGTTGCACAGATGTCATCACGCAGTGTGACAAGGCTGGGTTCAAAGGATGTACTGGTTTAGAATACAGGTCCGTTTGTGGCGAAGGGATGGCGAGCTACGATGAAGAACCCATCTGCATGTTCCGGGAGCACGCTGCGTCGGACGCCGTCTTGCTCCGTGAGGACGGGTCGCCGGTTCCGATAGCGCACTTCCAGCGGTGGAAGACTCGATGGACGGAGCCAGCCAGCCTCAACAAGGGCCTCCCGGCGGCGTTGGAGATGCTTTCGCAGCCGCAGCGATGCATCAAGGCCGGCGGGGGCCTGCCCTTCTACCAGCCGTGCCGGACTTGCGGTCAGACGCCTCAAGATGCCACATCGAGCTCGCTAGCGCCGGCACAATCTCGCGTCGGATCTCGGCTGTCCAGCCTTTCGCACGCGCAGCTCGTTGAGGTCGTGCAGAAGGCAGCGACCGCGAGCGTCGACGCGAAGCGCGCGGTGACGCACTATATCGCCAAACTTGACGAAAACCTGGCACCGAGCGAACCCGCTCCTGTTGCGTCCACGCCACTCGCATCCCCAGTCCCCAGATTACCTCTCCCCAGGTCACCTCGAGCCAACCCCTCGCATACGCAACCCCCCCTCCCATTGTGGAAACTAAGGGGAGAGAGGCCGCCCTCCAAGTTTATCGGATGAACGACCGCCCTATATAAAGAAACAAAACGAAAAGCACAAGCGTCGACGGCCCGCCTTGTCGTGGCTTAGACTCTGTGAGATTGAACTTTGAAGCGTTGCGCACTTCCTTCTAGTTCGCATTCAAAAAAATGCATGACCGACGTCGCGGTGTTTTGAAGCGAGCGCTGAGGCCACGGTCACCCGCCCGGCAGCCTCCTAGGCGGCCTCTTCCCTCTCAGCTTCCACTCCGGGACCGAGAAAGGCAAGGAGACGTGGCGGGTGTAGTTGACCCGACGCGGGCTAACCAGCCGGGACGCGGCCGGCTCGGATGCAACAGCGGTGCCGCCCGCGGCCGCAACCTTCTGGGCGAGCTCGAGGAGCTGCGCGTGCGAAAGGCTGGACAGACGCTCTGCGAGGCTGGAGGGGGTGGCGATGTCGGTGCCGTTAGATCGCGGCGACAGAGGTTCGTGGATTGCACGCCACCCCTGCGAAGCCTTAGTTCGAGCGAGGAGCTGCAACAGCGTACGCACCCGTGCCGCGAGCGCTTCCGAAGGCAAGCACCAGTGCCGGCAGTCCGCCACTATCGTCTGCCTCGGATTTCCCCACCCCCCCTTGCGCACCGCCTTGATCCCAGGGTGCGCCGCCCACTGCGACACCGAGTCGTCGAAAGTGGCGAGCACCGGCCAGCCCGCCTCCGCCGCTACGGCGTTGCCCGCGGTGCGGCGCGGATTGCCGTGCGCGAGCTCTGCCCCGGCTGGGCCGAGCTTCACACACGGGTAGGAGGAGTTGGCGCCTGCGCCCAGTGAGCCTGCGCCGGCGAGTTGGGGCCCGCGCCCGACGTTCTGATCAACGTTGCTGAACTCGCCCGAGGGGGTGTCAAAGTGACCCGCGAAGTATTCGAGCCAGAGGACCGCACCGCCTACGAGGCGTCATGGGAGGGTATTGGACGAGTCCGAAGCGAGTCCCATCTTGGAGGCGAGAAGCCCCGCCGCGGCGCGAGAAGCCGTCGAGCCACTGGCTGCGCCAACCGCGGATCTTAGTGCGGACGGCGTTAGCGTCGAGCGGTAGGAAGGCGCCCACACCAAAAACCACTACGTTTGCCTCGCCGATCAGCTCAGCCTCGTGCGGCGCAACCGTGCTGGCCTGCAGATATCGTAAGGCCTGATATGAAATATCTGTTGCCTGCTTTACTAAGGGGAGGAATATCGCTGATCGCTCTCATTGCTGAATACCGAGCAGCTCCCGGGTGGGAAGATCGAGGGGCGGGCCTCGGAGCACCTCCATGACCCACTTGTTTAGCATCGTGAGCGCAAGGCCCATCTTCGGGTCACGCAGCGTCACGCGCTTGTACTGGTTGACGCAGTCCCAGTGCGGACAGCGCCAATACCGATACCGAGGCTCGGCGTCGATGACGAGGCCAGGCTGCACGCTCAGCAGGCACACGAGCATGTGGAAGAGCTGCCGCACAAGTGAGTCGCCCAGAAAAGAGATTGTGGTGCCATTGTGCCGCCGGAGAAGCGCGCCGGCCTCACTTGTGGGCAGGAGGAGCTCTGGCTGGACACCGCGATCGCACTGGCCCTCCGACTCCTGCGGGGGCGACCGCTCCTGCATGCGTGCGCTGAAGTCGCAGGGCGTCGGCAGCGTCATGCGTTGCTGACTTTTACTGTGCGCGACACTTGGTTTGGGGACGGCGCCGGTCGTGTCCCCAAAACGGCCAACAAAAACGGCGCCGCGCACGGGACTGGCGCGGATTGGCACTAACACACACCTTCTACGATTGTGAGCGATCGAGCTCGCGCCTGTACAAGATCACGGAGCGACCGGAGCCCCCCCCCCCCCCCCGCCCTCTATCTTTGGTTGGTACGATTGTGAGCGCAGCCGCTCGTAATCATAGAAATTCTACAGGATTGTGAGCGCTCGGAGGCAACCCCAGACTTTGCTCGGATTGTGACGGTGAGCGCGTTGGCCGTTGGTAGTAGTCGTGGGTGGGCGTCACCAGTCACATTGTGAGCGGAGCCGCTTGTAGTCCTAGAACCAAGAAGGGCCCAAGTCCTAGAACCGACACGCCCCAACTCGGCCCAAGACGCTGTCATGCTGGTGTTGGCAATCGTGCAGGCAGTAACAGCACCCCCACCGCCAGTCGGCTGCCGAGGCCACTGCGAGTGCAAGACGCAGCCATGGGAAGCGCCAGCTGGCCATCGTGCGACCTTTCGTGTTGTGTATGGACGCGTCCAAACTTACATTTCGCGGGGCCCATGCCCTTTGATCGCGCGGCACGCCGGTGGCTCGCCGACAGCACGGCCGACAGCACGGCCCTGCACCGTCGGCCAAAGCGGGTGCGAGTCCGACCGGGGGAGACGCTTCACTTTGACGGGTTGCCCAAGCCGTGGATCCGGCCAGAGGCGCACGCAACTCGGCTCGGCAACGTCTGCCTCCAACTCAACAAGAAAGGGGAGTGGCAGCGTCTCTTCTACCGCAACAGTCCCGATACGCTGCGGTCAAAGACACCGCCCGCTCGTATCCGATTGCGACCGGCCAAATCGATGCTCTGGGTCCAGATCGTCGTCCCGCCGGCAATTGCGCTCACAGGGAACATCAGCTGGGAGAGCAAGGCTACCATGCTCCTGACTGCCCCCAGCAGCAACCCAAGCCACCAGTTCTTCGACGCGCTCCTCCCCCTCTTTGTGGGCCGGCCTGACCCGGGCGTGCCTCCGCACGGGGGCGGCCTCTTCCTCATTCCCTTTGACGACGAGTGCCGCTCATGGTTGTGCTATGTGATTAAGTAGAAGCACATGCACATGCAGAGAAGCGCACGCAGAGGTGGAGGGTCACCTGTCTTGACACCCCCCATCCAGTGCCGTGCCTCACGAGCCGGGGCCGCCACAGGTGCTCTCATACATGGTCTCGCCGAACGGCTCTCCGCCGCAGCTGCTTCGCACGACCGACGGGCAGTGCCTCTGCTTTCGAGAGCTGATCATCCCCGTATACAGCCAGTATCGCTCCGTGTCGCCCGAGACGACGCCGCAGCACGTCAATTACCTCCGCAGGGTAATGACGCGGCAGCTGCCTCCGCCCCGCCGCAGGGCCGCTTGGGTCTACGCGCGCGACCGATGCGAGCGGCGGCGGTGGAAAGACGCGGCGCCCTTCGTCGAAGGGCTACGGAGGAGGGGCTGGGCAGTGGTCCAACCCGCAGACCTGCTCGCGTCGGCGCCACAGGAGCTGTGCCGCAGCTTTAACGAGGCCGACCTGATCGTAGCTCCACACGGCGCCCACATGGCGTACACCCTCTGCGCACGGCGCGATACAGTGGTCGTCGAGATGGCCTGTACCCAAATCCGCGACTGGCTCGCAAGCCCCGGCGCCGGCCCTTACCACACCGCTCTCGGCCTCCGGTACCAGTTCTGGGTGGGAGGGCCGCCGCACGGCTCACCCGCGTGCAATGTGAGCAAGTCCTTCTCCTTGTTGACGCGCGGAAGGAGTACGCTTGCGGTCGACAGCGACTTTGACGCGGGCTCTGAAAACCTGCTCACGTTGGTCGATAAGCTGTCGCGTCCGCCCCCTGGGCCGCCTGAGCCGTCGCCAGCGAGGCTGGCACGCGAGTCGCCCGCGATCGTTCTCGTCCTTATATGGACTCCCCCCTCCAAGGCGGTGGTCCGCGCAGTGATCCGGAGCACGCTGCCGGAGCTGACGAGGGGGGAGCCAATCGAGGTGCGCTTCGCGCTCGGCAACTCGCCGGTGCCGGAGGTGCGAGCGATGCTGGCGACCGAGCAGGTCCGGTGCGACGATTTGGCCCTCCTCGCCTTCAACGAGACGGAGGACAAGGGCTTCGCTCGCTCCAGCAGCGTCAAGCTGTGGCACACATATGCGTGGGCGCTCGAACGGCGGCCCGCGGCGGAGCTCATCTTCAAGCAGGACTCGGACGCGCTCGTCGACTGGCGCCGCGCGCTCCGGGCGATGTTGGCTAGTGCGAGCCTCGGCGGGGAGACCGTCCCCTTCCGACACCTGTTCCTGGGCCGCATCTGCCAGCCAGAGCAGTGCCCTGTCATGCTGAGGACACACGGCGCTTGCGTGGCGGGCATGGTGCTCGGGCTGAGCCGCGACGTGGTGGGGTGGATCCTGCACGCCGCCTCGCCGCCCGTGACAACCGATGACATCAATGTGTGCACCTGGGCCGCAGAGTACGACGACCACCACCCGGGCGATCCACCACCCCCACCCGGCAAGGCGAGCTGAAGACCTCGAGGGCTCTTACGTTTGTGCGTGTAGCTACGTAGGCGCCCTTCTCAACCGGCACGGTATCACCCTCGCCGGGAGGGACGTGAGCCGCGCGCCGTGGCTGCACCCGCTCAAGAACCCGCACGCCTACCTACGCTGCTTCCTCGACCGCGAGCACGGCTGCTCGCTGCGCGACCCCGAGCAACTTCACTTCCAGCTGCCGCTGAGGGCGAGGTGGTCGCCACCACCGAGCGTGAGCACGCTGTTATGAAAGGTGAATACAACAAACAGATCCGTTACACGTGTGCGTATGTTGGATGTCTGCTGTCTCCTTGCATGTTAACGTACCGTATACTACACAAGTTGCAACTTTATTCAGCTAGTGTTATTACAATATCCTGCGACACAGCGCGACAGCGTCCGCGAGCGGTATCTCTCTCGCCCTCTCTCGCGGTGCTCCTGCCCTCGATTTCGGCGGCGTCACAGAAAGCGGCGGAGGGTTGCGATGAGCCGCTCGGTCTGAGCGAGAGTGCCGATCGAGACGCGCAGCCCGAGAGTGCCGCTTGCGTCCTTCTTCGGGCGGACGAGGATGCCTACGGGGCCGCGCCACGGGGACGCGTCACGGGCGCTGCCGCGCGTCGGTCTGGGCGGCGGGCGAGGGTGTGTCGCCCTCCGCACGCAGCGCCTTCTCGGTGGCGGTCGGGTCGGGGAAGTAGCAAAAGACGTAGTTGGCCGCCGATGGCCAGAAGGCGACGCCCGCCTCGGCGAGGAAATCCTCGAGCGCAGGGCGCGCCTTGTTGTTGTGCTCCGCGACAAAGTCAGATACGTACTGCGGGTCGTCGAGAGCCGCTCGGAGCGCCACGACGGCGAGCTGGTTGATGTCGTACGGGCCGCGCACCTGTCTCCACGCCAGCGGGTGTGAAGGTTCGCACACCCTCGCCACGGTGGCGCGCGGGCGGCCGCGCACGCAGCAGAGCGCGTTGATGTTCTCTTCGGCGGAGAGGATGTACCCGATCCGGAGGGAGGGGAGGCCCCACGTCTTTGAGAAGGTGCGCGTGACGAAGAGGTTGCGCAGACGCCCCACCTCGGCCGCCATCGAGCTGCCGGGCGGCAT